TTTTTGAGTTATCGTGTTACAGACGGACAGACAGACACCATGAAAATATTTTGTATTTAGGTCATTTATGAAATAACTTTTTTTTGTCGATCTTAATAGCCTACCAGTATGGTCGGCTAAAAAACGAGATTTGGTACTGTTTCACCGGAAATGACTACAACTTTTGATTTTTAAATGGCTCCCTCAGTATATTTTTACTTTATTTAATAGCAAATGACCTTCTGAATAGAATGGCATATCAAAGGCCAACTTTAAAAATAAAAAAGTTATAGGGGTAAGCCACTTTTGAGACACACCCGGTATAATTGAATATGTTTAATTGACATATTCTTGCATAGCGATTGATAAAACCATTGAATAAAAAACTTCTAACTGATATTATGGAAAGTGTATAAATCTGGCAAACCACTGTGTCAAGATCAGATTACGGTGAAATTTAAGTTAATGCGAAAGGGACTTAAATTATTACTTCTGCGCAGCAACAGATTGTTTCCAGATTAAAAATATGAAAAATGATCGAACAAATATTGGTAGCTTCAATAATTTGTCGTTTTTTTCTTTGTAATGGTTATCGACATTTTTCAAAAATTTACTTATCTGTCAACCGTGAAATTCCTATGGCGCCTAAAAGGAAATATTTCTTGGATTGTTATCTTAAGCGAGTCTCAGCCAAATGAAATGGTTCGATAGGCAGATTACCACCTACCTACCTGTTCAGTTTAGAGAAATCTAAAATCAATATTAGGATGCAGTACAGCCGTTTAAAGTGTAAACAGTTTAAGTAAAACTATAGTACCGTATGATCGAAAAAAAATGGCGTCCATTTGGCTGGGAAATGACGATCGATGACATTTCCCATATAAATTTACATATAAAATGACAGCGATTTTGAAGCGACATATAAAATGACAAGCCGTTTTTTCTCGATCATACGGTAGCAAAAGAAGCGCTTAATAACTATATTCTTGATTTAATTTGATTTGTTTCTTTCTCTTACATGTGAAGGGTCCAGGGGAAAAACTTGATAAGTGCCAATATCTTAATTTTAGGATCAGAGGCGGATCCAAGGGAGGGGGGGGGTCTTCGGGGGCTCCAGCCCCCTCTGTGTTCAGTCAAAGTAATACGATATTATTAATTTATTTTGTCACAAACGACTCTGGAGAATGTACTTTAAGTAAAATTTTGAGTCTAGCCCCCCACTTTCCCGAATCCTGGATCCGCCTCTGTTTACAATATACAGGGTGGTCCGAACTGTATTCCGGAAACTTCGGCAGCATATTCTGCAGATAAAAATAAGTAAAAAAAATCGTATAAATGTATATCCTAAATTGCTTAGGTTCGGATATACAGGGTGTAAAAGTTTCATTTTTATTTCGATTTTTTCCAAATAATTTCTAAAGTAACGTCAATATTTGGATAAAACTTGGTGTCTGGGAGTTTTTTGACATTAAAAATTTGATTTTGATGTCAGTATGACTCCTATTTGTGGGGGGCACCCGCTACATGTGTTTTAACTGGTTTGAAAAGTTATAATTTTTCATCCGTACCTGTATAAAACTATCGAGTGAAAAAATGTACTTTTCCGTGATTTTTTACGTAAAAAGTGTCTCTTGGTAAAAATCGCTACGAGCAACCGTTCTCAAGATATTTAGAATGGAAATAGTCAATACATGTAATTATTGACAAAAAAATAAACACGTTGAGTGGATAATTATTTGACTGAAATAATAAATTTGGGAAATTTTTATTTTTTTAAATTAATCATAAATTTTTCTCCGAAAAAATGATGATAAAACAGTTTCTGTTGAACTTTTGACACATAAACATTTTAAATTTATGATTTCAGTTAATTTATGTCAATGATGACAGGTACCTATTGATAATTTTGATTTCAAATATCTCGAGAACCATTACTCGTAGCGATTTTTACCAAGAGATCTTTTTTACGTAAAAAACGTCGTAAATGCATATTTTTTACTCAGTAGTTTTATACAGGTACGGACGAAAAGTTATTAGTCTTCAAACCAGTATGTAGAAATATGTAGGTGGCGCCCTCTAAAAGTAGGAGTCATATTGACAACAAAATCAAATTTCTCATGTCAAAAAACTCCCAGACGCCAATTTTCATCCAAATATTGACGTTACTTCAGAAATTATTTGAAAAAAATCGAAATAAAAATGAAACTTCTACGCCCTGTATCTCCGAAACTAAGTATTTAAGGACATACATTTATACGACGTTTTTTACTTATTTTTATCTGCAGAATATGCTGCCGAAGTTTCCGGAATATAATTCGGACCACCCTGTATAGTAGGTCTAACTGGTTCGTACAAAATATATAAACTTGGCAAAGCAATAAGTTGTTAAATCCCTATGATATATGCCTAGTAAAAATCTAGAATACGCGGAAAAAACCTGATAACTGATAACCGCCAGCCGTCCAGTGCTCTCCTGTAAAATTAGTAAAATGACGCTTATCATGCTTTTCTCTGGGTCGTCCATATGGAATCATGGAATGTAATAAGTATTTGAGAGGTTATAACATTGACAATTTTACAAATGATCTACCATCAATCTTTTCGGATCAATTTTTTAGTACCGTAATGAGGAATGTTTGTTAACAATCAAGCATTGGCATTACTACAAGGGGGCCGGGAGTGCCGGGCCCACTCCAGGTACTGCTGGGCATCCCCTAGAGAAATTTTGAATTTTGACTGAAATCTGACTCTTGGCTAAATATTCATTTTTATTTGCTTGTGATGTAGTAAAAATTACGTTTTCTAGTTTTGTTTAGAATATTGTTTTGTTTTGTTCAAAAAATGTGTGTAAGTTTTTATTTCTTTCACAAAATTCGTAGGTATTTAAGTAATCCAGGGGAGAACAGTTAGATAACAAAGTCTATCAAATTTATTGACGGAGAAATTCATGAAAACGTTTTATTCAAAAAATGTGTTTATTTTTTAATATTATTATTCTTCATTTTTTAAAACACAAAAGCCCTTGACAAGCTACTTCTTTGGTACTCTGAGACCTGCCTGAGACAATTTTTTAAGAGGATCGATTGTACTGATTTTTTTTGAAACCCGTACTGCCTCTCATTTAAACTACCCTTTAGCTGTATTTCAGTTTCCAATCGATCTTTTAAGAGCATTTTTATTAATTTGACCATCGAGTCTAGCAGGCATATACAGGGTGTCCTACTTAAGATGGATACAAGCCAATATCTTGATTGTTTGTTGAGCGATCTTTTTCATTTTTGGCAGGAGGCTGTATGGCTATAAGACGTACATTTTGCCCAGGGTAAGAAATGCGATACCATAGACGTACGTTTTAATGGGGTTTGAGATTTTTCGAGTCAAGAGTAAACCTTAGGACAGTCACCATCTTCGCCCAAACCACCATAATTTCTAATGCATTTTTCATAAATTTTCCTATTTCTGTTGACTATTTTTTTTTTTCTTTCTATTTTTGATGTTGGCTTTTAGTTCGTTCTAGTTTTAGAAATCTTTGTTTGGAGCATATTTTTCAAAGTTAATAGTGATTGTTTTAAATAACTATTTGGATTTTTTAAAATATTCCTCAATAAAAGGAATAAAAATCATATTTCAGATTCCTGATTGTTTTAAATAACTATTTGGATTTTTTAAAATATTCCTCAATAAAAGGAATAAAAATCATATTTCAGATTCCATTGAAATGATTCCATTGAGCTATCTGAAAACTTAAATCGATTATTAATTGATAATTGGTTATTGATAATAAACCAGTTGTTTATCCAGTGGCGTATCCATACCCTGTATCAATATTTATCAAAATTAGAACTTTAGTATCTTGGGTAAGGAGGATTCAATATAATTTATCAGATTTGAAATAAATACTGTCCTAAGGGTAGTTTACTCTTGACTCGAAAAATATCAAACTCCACTAAAATGTTATAGCCTTATAGCCATACAGCCTCCTGCCAAAAATGAAAAAGATCGCTCAACAAACAATCAAGATATTGGCTTGTATCCATCTTAAGTGGGACACCCTGTACATAGCTCGATAGCTACGTTTTTCATTTTCTTTCTGGGGTTTTTCTATTACCACCAGCTGGGAACGTGTCCACCTACTCGGAATAGACGCATTTCCAATAACATCATTGCAGATATCCACCAACACATCGGGTCTTTCCTGAGCCGTCTGGTCCAGGTGCCTTTCCTCTTTTTAGCCTCCTGACTAGGTTATCGACTTCAGTCATCGATATTTTGGGGAAATCCACTATAGGAAATCTCTTCCAGTTCGCATTCTCGCCCCTTAGAAACAGCTTCCTGGCTTCATTTAGTTGAGCATCCTTTTCAATTACATTTTTTGTTTTTATTGTTTTCATAATAATTTATTTGAAATGCCTGTACATAGTGTCCATGTACATCGTTTTTAAGTTCATTTACAATATTTCTCCAAGAGCTCTCCTTTGATTTTTGAATTTCATATTTTAGTTTTTTACGTGCTTCATATACAAATTTTCTGCTTCATTTACTTCTGTTTCAAACCTTCTCCTTTTCTGTAATCGATTAACTTGCCTCCTAAGTTTTAAACCTTGCTCGCTTCCCAAGATTAGGTGTAATACGGGAAGTATGAACCAATTACCAAACATCTAAAAAGAGAATGAAAGTTTAAAGACAAGTGTTTTCTACTGAAAATTTATTAAAAAATTGCTTCTAGGTTTTAGTGCTTATCACAGAAAGTCATTCACATCGTTTTTGCCGATTTTTTCATCTCGTAGTTTTTTTTTTCTCCATTCTACGTCACATCCGACGCAAACCGACACCAAACAGCTTAGCTGGCTCCCCGTTCGAGACTATTCATTCATAACTCCGATGTGGAGTGCCGCGGCATGTTGCGGGGCACGGGGAACCGACCCAGAACGAGCGAGAAGGGGAGCATTAGAGTGAGAGAGAGCGACATACACAAGCTCAGCGGCGTTCGCTAAGCCAACACGCACACACTCGCACAACGATTCATAACACAGGCGGGTTCGGTGTTGCTAGCTTTGCTGCAGGTGCTTCCAGTCCGAATATTGTGAATCGGTCTTAAGAAATCTTTGTCCGCGTGTGTATTTTCACCGAAAGGAACGTCAAAAATACCATAAAAAGACATTTTTTTGTGATCGCAGTGAGTGAACTGAGTATTTTATGAAATTGTGCTGGTATACCGTTGATATCACCCCCAGAAGTTGGTGTTTTGATGAAAGAAATATCGCCAAATTACGGGCCTCGGATACTGAACGAAAACGCGGAGTTTTCAATGAATGGCCTGCGTTATTTATAACTCTGGCTCTGAAATAGATCGGTGACATGCGACTAACGCGACCAAGACAGTATTTTCCGATAAAAAAAACTCTTTTAAATCGTAAAATTATCCATAACCTGTGATCTTTTATTTAAAAAAATAACTCTCACTTAAGTCAAAACCGTTTTAGACAGTATTTTCAATATTTAACACGTAAAATTATCCAATAACTTGTGATCGTTTATCAAAGACAAATCTTCTTAAGTAAAAACTATCCAAAACTTATAAATTATTATTTATTAAGAATACTCATTGCTGTGAGTGTGCTGTATATAGAAGGATTGTGAGTGATTTTAAAAATCTAGTCAATGTATATAGACGTTGGTAGACCCTACGGAATGGGAATCAAGACCACTATGAAGGCAGTTAGCAGGCAAAAAGGTAGGGAATACATGTATACAAAATAAGTACTTAGTGAATTTAATTAGATAAAGGCGTACCTATAGAAAAAGAAAGATCTTGGTAAAACTATAGATGACTTGTCACGCCACCAGTGGTGGCACCTGTAATCGTTTTTCTAATGTATACCTATATTTTCTAATGTATATGTTTTCTAAACTGAGTAAAAGCTGTACAAAATCTGATACAGTCTGATGTATTCTTTGAGAGTTTAAATATACGCACTAACAAATATAGTCTCTCTTAAAAGCCAGAGAAGCTTTCGACAGACGATATCCATAAAATTACATACAATTAACCTGTAAATAAAAACGACAGATATAACTGTCACTGTTATGGATCCAGACACTTGAATAAGTATGAAATAACGTGTAATACTTTATTCAATTCTTTGTAATACTAAAATTATGAAAATTAAATATTTGAAGTACCTATGAATTACTTAAATAGATATCTGAAGAACTTGAAATACTGAAATATGATGAACATAATTTTTACCATCGATTAACCCTTTGCTTTTTCGTGTACTGTTACTACTACTCACTTCTTACTTACTACAAGAAATGAGACCATCCACAACGCTGTATAGATGATAGCACACCAAACTCTATTTTCTTTTTGGCAAGAAATGGTCATATTCTTTTAAATTCCTATTATTTTTTCAATTGAAATGAATAAAACTAAAAAATTACAAAAGTATAACACAAGGTCTTAGCAAAACTATGCATATCCTGTGATAATGTTTTATCTAATTTTATGTCTTCTGAACTAAGTAAAAAATTTACAAAATCTGATACAAAACTTGATGTATCTTTTGTGAGGTAAGGCACGTTAGGGCATACACTAGGAATGGAGTAGGGTACTTGTTAAATACTTACGAAAAAGTATGAAGTTATATACTGTGGTTATATTCTCACCGACAAGATTTATTTATTTGGTGAGCAACTCAGTTTATTTGTCAAATTCTTAGGTCAAATTAGAAAATCTATAACTAAGGAATAGCTTTATTTATTTTTGTTTTCTTATTTTTCAGGAACTTTAGTTTTATTTTTTTATTACTTACATTGTACAGGGTGTCCCATTTTGGTTGAAATCATACGGTATCTCCGTTATTCGTGAAGACAGAAGGGTGCGGTTTTTACAAACCTGTGCCACTCTTTTGTCAAATGGAAGATGCTGTCAACAAAATTTTTATAACCCTTTTTGTTTCTGAGCTACAGGGTCTTTTCGAAAATTTTGCAATTTGGGACCGCCCCCGTATCTCCGTTATTATGTATGATATCGAAATGGTGAAAACTGATTCTTGTAGAACTTGTTACGTAGAATACAGTGGCGTAGTCTGTTTTTCTACGAAAAAAATATTTTTGAAAATATGAACTAAAATTATGTTTTTTCAAATGGAACACCCTGTATATTTATAAATCATGTGATCAGCTTTGATATGAGCTTCTCAAATATATATATATCACTCTATATTTATTTTCACCATTTACTGCAATATTTAAAATATATCATTTTCTTATTAGTAGGCCGTGATAAATAACAAAATCAAAATGGTATTTACTAAAATAGACATGCACATATTAAAATTTTATTTGGAATTGATATATTTTACTTTTGAACTGTTACCACTGAACCTCTAAATATATTTTTCTCTTTTTTATAACGGAATTTATTATAATGGAATGGGTTTGCAAATATTTAAAAGCTTGCATTATTGAAGCATTTTTCAACATCGTATTAGTTGCCACGATATATTTCATATTTCAAAAATCCCTAAAATCAGAGATCGAGAACAGACAAATCCGGGAATCAATCGGGGGGGAGGCCATTATATGGGTACATTGGTTCCAATTCATTGATTTGAGAAATAATAATTTAACAAAATTCTAATATTTTCGTTGTAAGTTAAGTTGTGAGGGGGAGCCCCATCTTGCTGAAAGTATATTTCACGTAAATTAGCTAAAGGAATATTTAAAAGTTCCGATACGATAGCTTCCAAGATTTACAAAGAGCGGTAGAGATTTAAGTTTCCCTAATATACAAAGAATTAATTAGTGGCTCTCAAAATAAAACAAGAGACAGATAGCAGTATTACTCTTAATAATTAGTTAGTTTCTTTTATTATCAATCATGGCCTACTAAAAAAATGATCTTTTAATATGTTTTTTTTTAAATATTGCCTTAAATAATGAAAACAAATATAGAGCGTTATATATTTTTGAGAAGCTTATAACAAGCCAGATCATATAATTCATAAATATACAGGGTGTTCCATTTAATAAAACATAACTTTAGTTCATATTTTTAAAAATATTATTTTTGTAGAATAACACACTACACCACTATATTCTACGTAAAAAGTTCTACAATAAACAGTTTTCACCGTCTCAATATCTTTAACAATAACAGAGATACGGGGGGTGTCCCAAATTGCAAAATTTTCAAAAAGACCCTGTAGCTCAGAAACGAAGAGGGCAATGAAAATTTTGTTTACGGCATCTTCCATTTGACAAAAAAGTGGCACAGGTATGTGCAAACCGCACCCTTCTATCTTCACGAATAACGGAGATACCGTATGATTTCAACCAAAATGGGACACCCTGTACATACTGAAATCCTTACTTTTTGATAAATAAACTTTACTTTACTTTACTTTTATTATAGTTCATAGCTATTTCCGAGGCTATTTCGTACTTACGTATTTATTTGAAGTACCTGAAATATCTGAATAACTTCTGAAATATGGTCTACATAATTTATGTCATCGATTTTTTCCTTGTTTTTCTATGTTAACTATGCTAACTTATGTTAATTATTTTAACTCCTGCTATACCTCTTACTACAAAACTTACTGATCGTTTACTACTACTTTTTACTACAAAAGAAATAGACGTTCCACAACGATTACTACAGCAAAGTAATTCCATAAAGATTTTTCTTTTTGAGCTATACTAACACATTACTGTTATACAGGTCAGAACATCTGGCAATCGTCGTTAAAAACCGACCAAAAACAAAACCCTAACGAGGTTGATGGTCTAAAAAGACCTTTTTCGGTCCGTTCATGTAGATACCTTGAATAGATACCCTAAATAGAACTTTCCGTTACTGAGATTTTTTGAAGGGAATATAGCTATTCAGAATTAGGTAACTAAATTTTATTTAATAGTTTGTGTAAATTTAAAAATATTTTACTTTGTGCATTCAATAATAGTAAGTTAATAATAATTGAAATTATACAAATTATTATAAACAAAATAATACATTGGATTTATTTTAAATAACATATATTTTTTTTTCATTTTCTGATATTAGAATATCGAAATAAATGTGATAATTATTTTAATGTTAAAAATTACTTAAATATTTATTATTGATTATATTAAAAAATATATTATATCATATATTTTTTGTTGTATATGTCGACATAAGCCGGCAAAATACGTTGGTTACGCTACTGGTCATACATAGGTATACCATATGGTACAGTATATTAATTTTCCAATGCAACAATCTTCCGTATCTATTCCATATGTAAGGGATTATTAAACATTAAAAAAATTTTTCAAGCAAATGTAACGAATTAAAAAAAATTATATTTTCTTGGTTCCAGTCACAGGAATATGATACTTGTCTATTAAAGTTAATGAAAGATATATCATTGCTTTTTAAACAGTCTTGGTGTAATGTAGCCGTTATATTTTACAGAATACTCATTCATCATGAGGTCTGTGAGGGCTATTTTTTGATCATTTAAATGCTTTCTTTTTTTGTAAACTTTTTTGTTCATTTATCTTTTTTTTAAAGTAAATCAGATTTACTTTACTTTACATAAATCGAGAATTTAAAATGTATCTGGATGTTATGTTACCATAATTTTCACAGTAAACATCTTACATTAGTTTTCTTAACAGTATTTCTGAAATGCCTCATAATGTTTGGAAATTTCTTGGTTATTTTCTTCATTTATTGGTTATTCTCTTCATTATATGTATCATGCCTGTGTTTTTTTGTATTGGATTTCATTTAGTATCTAATTAGGACATTATTAACCTAATCGTTTGTTTTATTAATGATTGTTATACACTATACAGGCTGAGTCTTAAATAAGTGCAAATATTTTCAGGGGTGGTATACTTATTTCGACCAGGTCTATGAGGTTTTTTTCGCTAAAAAAGATGTTGAAAATTGTGCATTTTCTTGTATATTTTTCGAACTGCCTGTGCACCGCAAATTTTCCCACGGTATAATTTCTTAATCTCTGATATTACCATAGTTACGGCTTTACTCTATGGTTACGACAATAAAAGGGATGCAAATACAGAAAAAATCCAGTGGCTCTCAAAAATTTTTCAAAAAAAATCATTTTTTTTAAATTTTCAAACTTAAATACTAGGTAGGTTATTTTGGACTTATCTGAAAAATGGTAAAGAGAAAATTTGTTTCTTTTATCGAGATGTACCAGCCCTAAAAATATTTGCACTTATTTAAGACTCACCCTGTATATACAGGGTGTTTCAAAAAACATGTCACATGTGCCATCTCTCGTGGGGAGATTCCTCATGTAAAAATAAGATTTGTTTTTCATATGAACGCAGGTCCGATTCTGCTTTGTTTCCTAGCTACAGGGTGTTAAAGTCTTAATCATCTTTCGATTTATTATAATTTTCTTCCAAGTACTTTTAGTGATACGAATGAAATTTTGAGGGTAAAAGTTACTATAAGTGCTACATATTTTAATGTTAAAAAAGTATCGATAAATTCATCAGGGACGTGCATATGGGTTATCACTGGAATATTTTTCGAAAGAAAACATGTGCGCCACTTACTGAAGAAAATTATAATAAATCGAAAAAATATTAAGATTTTAACACCCTGTAGCTACGAAACAAAGCAGAATCGGACCTATATTCATATGAAAAATTAATCTTATTTTTACGTGAGGAATCTCCTCACGAGAAATGGCACATGTTTTTTGA